AGACCAAATTGAATTTCAGTGGTTGTCCATTTTATTTGACTGGCAAGATCTTTAAGTTTTATATCAACGCTATTAAAACGCTCAGTCATTTCATGATATAACTTTTTGATTTCCTGCAATTCTGAGGTTTCGTTTGTTCCGAAAATATTGAGAACAACGTCTACGATAGTAGCTATTGCTTTTATAAAACTGAAAACTCTTGTAACTGGAGTTGCACGCATGAAGCTAGAAAATGATCCAGTATTACTGTATTCGCAAAATTTTCATGCAAAGTCATTCCTGACTTATTTAATCTGTATCATCTGATCTTTTCCAAACGTTCCCATAATAAGCGGTACTTGGTGGAATAACAACAAAGAGAGGAAGACCATGTGCACCATTGTGTCTTCTTTTGCTCTGGGAATGATAAACTTTACTTATTAGTATTAATTCATATATGTAATCTTATTGGGCGTAATATAAACAAATACGTGATAGAACAATTGTACCAAGTCAGGAATATGACGGCTGATTTCAATTCGTTCCATTGGTTGATAAATGTTCACGTTTGCTTTTTTCAGTTTTTATAGACCTCCCCCTTTTTTAATTTACCTTGGAGTATTTTGTTATACTTCTCCCTAAAAGAAAATGGCAAACTTTTATAAATTATAAATTGATATTGATTGCTTTAAGCGTAAAGATAAACAAAGTTAGTAGTGATTGTTGTGTACCTTAATAACTCTTCGTAGCAATTATAGTAACGGAATTAATAAATGTTAAATTAAAAATATACTGAAGAAGCTGCTATATAAGTGTTGCAGATGATATCTAGATTAATATGTAATTAATTTGTATAGACGATCACCAAAATAAACACGTCTACACCGAATTTTTACTTGACAACATATATAAATAAAAAACCTGTTTTAATTTTGTGCAGTAACTATTGACATCAAAATGATAATGAATTAACATATATTATATTCAACACAACGCAACACGTTACATACTAAATTAAGTAAATAACATGAAATTACATTTAAAATACATCGGCTACTTTATTGGTCTACACCGATCTCGCTCAGAAGGGTATTTAAATGAACAACGAATGACATGTATAGTACCATGATGAACGTTATTATTTTTGTGTTTTTGCAATACTAACATAAATGACTTAACTGATTCTTCTATGGAAGTTTGGTCAAATTTCAGTACAGTTAAAATAGTTTAAATTGACGAAACAAATTGCAATTGGGTCAGACTTTTGAATAAACTGCAATACAGATGAACAATTATATATATAGACCACAACGAGGGTTGGTTAGACTTGCTCGGGAAAGGTTTTGGATAAGAAAGTTAAGGACAGTTTCCCCATAGGGCATTATTGAAATAACATAGAATGAGTCACTCATTTTCCTGCCATCACTTGTTTCCTGTACCTCAGGCTTCCGTACAGGACTCTTACAGTTTTAATGAATTTATTCCTCCTCCCAAATACCAATTTTGAAAAAATTTACCAGCGTTTTGATTCGTGATAATTTGTATAACGATCAAGACTTTTATTTCAGTTTGACTACTACATATAAAGATAAGATTCATTTGACATCTTACTGATGAAGTATATTAGTTATCCGAAAAATTTAACATTTGTTCATGATTTATTTTTATTTTTTTTGGTGATGTTGTACCTTTTTAGGCTTGTTATAAATATGTAACATTATTGAGCTTTTTTTAACATACAATTAGTATTGTTAAATTTATTGACACTGACGAAGGCTATTTGTTAAGCCAAAATATTTGTCAACACGATTTTATAACATTATCTTCGTATACCATCTTATATTAGTACCGTTGTGCAAATCTTAAGACTTATATAATATATTTTCACATCAGTCCCACCATTGATATAATAGCCATAGATAAAGTAATTAAGGTAAAGAATATTGCCCACTGAGCCCCCTGTATTTCCCTTATTAATATCAAAGGCACGGCACTGGTTGTGGAGGTTTATGATGAAGATGATATTCGCCGACATCCTCCCAACAGACTAAGTACTTATCACGATTAAATATAAATTATCGAGCAGTCGTGCGGAAGCACTAAAAATCTTAAACCAAGACAATTTGTTTTGATTGTGGTTTATTTGGTAAAAATCGATCAAGAAATAAAAAGTTACATTTTCGTTTGGTCTTGTATTATATTTGCCTTCGGGTTTTTATGATCCGTTCATCCTATTTTGACTCTTTCAAAATTCAAGAGTCTATCCTAAATTGAGGTAAATTATATGGCCTTCTAAATACGTTTCGATTCCTAACATCACTGAAGAGACATTAATTGTTGAAATCCGGATATGGTGTACAAATTTTTGCACCTCATGTTTGCGGTATACCATCTTTTCCGCATGTTTATTGTTTTCTTTTTGGTAATAAACTAATAATAAGATCTATTTTGTTACAGATTGTGATACGTTTATTTGGCAATCGCCAATGGCAGTCAGCAGGGTTTAAGAACATCAGTTGTTCGACCTGCTAGTCAAATGCGTTTTATTAGAATATACTTTTTCACTCATTTGGTCTTTTGGAAAAATGTTGTTTGTGCTGTATTTAGACCCGTCTACCAAGAAATTTGTTTTGCATGCACACGTATAAAAATTGCGGTTTTTATTCAACGCATTCATAGGTTTGAACGTTGTTTTCAATTTAGACTTGTTTGTATATTTTCGTTTGGGCTTGTTTTATATTTTCCTTCGGGTTTATATGATCCATTCAACCTATTTCGACTCTTTAAAATTCAAGAGTCTGTCCTAAATTGAAGTAAATAACATCAGTTGTTCGACCTGCTAGTCAAATGCGTTTTGTTAGAATATACTTTTTCACTCATTTGGTCTTTTGATAAAGATAAGCAAAAATAGAAGAAAATTGAACTTCATCGGAATTTATAGTATCTTTAGTATAAAGAGAGAACTTTAATTATTTTCGTATTAATGAACTAATAAATCACGTTTATAAAATGTTATATCTGTGAATATATTGTATAAACAATGCCTGTTGCGTTAGGTGACACTAGTAAGAAATGTTATTACAACATGAACACTCGCAGTCTTTTATAAAACATTGTAAGTTTCCAAGTTCAAATGATACGGTATATTTTAAATCGTAAATTATAGCATTTCGTGTACCTACTTAAACTTTAATACAGAGTGAAAGCAGATTAAAAAAATATAAAGAGGCAAATATAGAAAAATAAAACTGAGGACAATAACGTGACTAAAAGAAAAATACAAACATCCTATAAACCGAGAGTGAATCCTTAGCATCAGTTGTGTTGCTCATGATGTGTCTGGAAATAAGCAGAATAAAGTGTCAAGTCACAAAGAAACGACAGGAGGACGGGATTATGAATCTGAAAGAACATATTAGAGGACATCGGTGACAGATATTCCATAAATATTAAACACGTCATCATAGCAACATTAAAATTTATAAGAATCAAATAGAAAAACTGTGAGCAGAACAATAAAATGCATTATTCACCTCTCCCAATTTTAACATATATATGACAAAGTCAATATTTTGCTATGGGAAACCTCAATCATCAATAAGACTAAATTTCGAATAGACGGTGCATAATGGTATATAAAAGGTACTGAAATTTCAGTGGTTTAGACGACAAGATATCTATGAACAGGCATTTTATAACATAACAATGAAAACCCTTATAAATCAATCGGCTCATTGCATAATGGATTCTGGAGTTTATGATCTTTGGTTTTGAAATTTGTTTTATTTTAACTCGCTCTTTTTTTTTCTCCATTAGTTTGATTTGTAACTGTCATTATATCAATAAACGTTCAGTAATAAAGAAAACACAAGAAATCTCATCTGTTTTGACAGATCTTTGATAGTTTATGATTTGTTTATTCACAACTGAATTATATTTGTGGTCATTGAATACTTATTATATTGTTTAAATTAGACACCTGTCCATTGTTAAAGAATGTATGTTGTCATTTTGATGTCGTTTGGTTATTAAAAATATGCCGTAGGGTTGCTGTCTATATGACGTATATTCAACATTGTATAGATAATGCCTGATCACTGGAGTCATACAATTTGTATCTAAATTGACATTTTAGTACTCAATGACAGACAAGATGAGTCTAATTCCAATACGTTGCACTGAGTTACTATAGCAACTATATACTAACTTCATTTGAATATGAATAAAAACATGAGATATCCCAGACCATGCAGCCTGTTATACTCAGAATTCGGAAACGTCAACGATTTTTTTTTTGTCTGAATTGAATATATTGACGTATAAATTGAGTTGGAGTAATAATGGACTTTTCCAAAAGACAGCAATAAAGCATGACTATCTTATTCCCTGTACTTATAATTTTGTGATTTATAATACTCCAAACAATATAACTACAACAAAATTGTACACTAACGTGAAGCAGAACTATTTTAGGGCTGTTATCTTAATGATGTATACTCCACATCTCCTTTATGTCACGAATTCAAAAGCCCTTTTGTGAATGCATATGTGCAATTGATATTCATACACATTATGCATTTACCTGTCAAAAATCAGGAGCCTGTAATTCAATGGTTGTCGTTGGTTGCTGTCTGTCATAATTGTTTTTCGTTTATAGTTTTGTCATCAATTGGTTATCTCGTTTTAATTGATTTACGTTTTGTCATGTCGTGGCCTTTCATAGCTGACTTTATTGTATGGATTTTGGTCATTGTTGGAGGCCGTGCGATGACCTGTACTTGCTTACATCTACGTCATTTGGACTCTGGTGAATATTTGTTTCATTTGCAATCACACCGAATCTCCAATTTTCATATCTGATTGATACGTCATTTTGTTTTAATGATTAATCAGTTATGCTTTTTTCGTGGTTAAATTTTGTTTGTAGCAAATTCATATTAGTTTCTCTCCAATCCCACTTGTAGATACAGTTTCTTTTTGTCTTTCCAGGAAAAAAATATGAATACGAAATTAGCAAAAAGATATGTTTATTACAGATTTATTACATCACAGTTAATAGACTAATGAAAGACATTGTATAAAAGGAAATTACTCTATGGTAACAAAATCGACAAACTTTATCTTACACAAAATAAATATAAAAAAATATTTTACATTATTTTTTCGCTTACTATAAAGTCACAGGCAACTTGAATACATATACATAACTGCAGTTTCGTAATAAGTGATTTATATTTCTTTTCCAACAGATTCATCTTTCAAGGGTAGCAATATTTTATTTGAAAAAAATATAATGTGTATATTACTTTAGATGTTCCAAAAGATAATATGTTCATTGATGATACATAAATTGGAGGGGGACTTCCTAAAGCATGTACAATTTCAATTCAAGACTATCTTATATGTTCTGCTTATAGTAACAATTAACAACCTATTAGTATATAAACTTCATTCATTGTACACGGAAAGACGATAATAAATAAAGTAACACTTCTCCGTTGTCAAGAAAATATCAACCGTTCATGATTAACGCTGATGATTAACTGTATAGTTATTTTGCTAAATGTGAAACAAACCAAATAAACAAATTGGCTGTATATCGGGTTCCAGTAGAGTACATCTAGGTCACTTTTAACCCTTTACACTAAGGTCTGAACATTTTAATGGTCACAGGTCGTTTTAAATCAGATGTCAGGTCGTAAGGTTGCAGATAGGATTTGACCATGTTCATGCCACATTTCGTATATTTTATTTCAAAAAATCTAATTCAAATGATTATCAAAATTGGTTTTACACACTGCAAGTTATATACATACAATTAAAAAAATGTCAAGAATGAAAAACTACATGCATGTAAAGTTGTCTCCGAAGGCCGGTGATCTCCATACATAAGGAGAAAATTGTTATATCTTTAATTATTGATAGGAAAATTAGTGCCGTATAATAACATTGTTTTTGATATGGTTTATTTCAACATTTCCCTTTCAAACACAAAAGCATGTGAAAAATTAGCTAACATCAAACGAATTCAGAGTATTGCAACATATGTAATGATAACATTTTACCTTACATTATGTAAATGTTTAAGTAACTATCTTCTGATATGCTTCGATTATCACCATGCAATAGATTTTTGTTCGGGCTGATATTCTATATCCAGTTATTTCCATTTCGATTTTTATCTTTTTCTTCGATTTAAGAATAAAAGTTTTCTTTTTGTCAGTTGAACACACTTTTTATTTTATACTTTAAGCATACTTGGATTGTATATATATTATATAAGTTTTTAAGGACTTATTTGGTATACGGCATTGAGACAACAACTGACGACACAAGAAACCAGTAGACATCTACATTTTAACCGGTCGACAAACAAGCACTATTTTAATACATATTATTACAGAATTACTTTTTATTAAATTGATTTATTGAATGTTGCTTACTTAACGTGCAGCGACCAATATTTCGTGCATATTTAAGACTTTTATTGTATGTCGCTCAATTACGTAGCAATAGAAAAGCCATATGCGCTGAGGTGATTATAATGGAACAATACACAGATAAATATGATAAATTTGATAAGATCTATTTCTTGGCACATTAAAAAAAACTCCATGACAAATAATGAAAGGAAAATAGTACAATAAAAATACAAAAATTCAAGAAAATAGCCTTTTACATGATTTCTATTAAACTTTTCTAGTCAGCTGTTTTATTTTTATTATTAACGAAAATACAAACAACAATAACAAAATAAATAAATAACTTAACAAAATATATTTAAGTTCAATCGTCCTCTGGTTTCTTTGGTGATACTGCTGTAAGTTTTTTCGTAATGAGCGCAATACCTCCTATGATTACAGCCAGGGTCACGGCACCAACTGCAGCAGCAATTCCGTAAGTAGCACCATCAGATAAAGAACTAGAATTTTCTTCCTGCAAACACATGAAAATAATTTATTAAAAAAGAGCTAATACTTTAGTATACCACGGATAAAATACTTAGAATTTAACTGTCTGAAAAAAATCTATAGGATTATCAATTGCGAAATGGCATGACGATTGTTTTTCTTATTCAATATTTTTGAATGAAACATGAATATTTTATCCGTGGTATGGTGGGAAATCTAATATGTCTGAAAAGAAATACTTTTTAAAAAATAGGCAAGACGTTAAAAAAATCCTTAACAATAATTCCTTAAGCATATACGTAAATGTAATATGTTTTATAAACACCTAAAAATAGTAATAAAAAAACAATAATAGTAATGTACATGAAACAATATATACAATATCTATATTTCTAACGAACGATGTATATTTTACCTTAGAAGATGATGGATTTTGCGTCGTTGTGGTTGTTGTATTACCGGCCTTTCCTGACTGTTTTGTCGTTTGATTTGGTGTTGACGTTACTAGAGAACTTGATCCTGCGGACAATTTGAGTGAAGTCGTTGCCATAAGAAAGGTTGTTTTTCTAGACAAAAAAGTCAATGTAGACGTAGGTGTCAATGTGGTAGTGGTGGTGGTGGTTGTAGTTGTACAAGGATTAATTGCGTCATATGTTGGATCAATTGGTATGTCACATGAGCTTGTGAGATTTTTCAAATCCTTTACATAAATTGTCACATTTTTTCGACAGCAGTCAATGCTACAAATATACAAATGTATAGATATTAATACAATGTTATGTCCATTGCGATGCCGCTTTACATATATTATTCAAAAATTTGAATTGCAACACAATTGAAGCAAAACAGTGAGTCAGAACTTCTTATACTTTTCCCAGGCAATTCTTTCGAAAATATAAACTGTTTAAATAAAACATTTGCATGGTTATTAGGCAAAAATTGGCAACACAGTCTTCAAATAACAGATACCCAATCACGTAAACTATAAAGAAAATATATTTTTTCTGTTCCAAGACAACATTACTAGTGCCCCTGCCTGTTAGAAAAAGTTGACAAGTTTATGTTATTGTAACTTTGCAAAGTTGATTGTGATACCGCTTCTAATTGTATTATGTTTATGTAAATGTCTTTTGTGTGTTTTCTATAGTGTCTTAAGTCTGTTGTATGAAATGCAAGGCTAAAGTGGTCTGCTAGGTATATCATTATTGGTATAAGAAAAAAACGGTTTAGTGTATATTATTTTAATTCTGTACTCTACATTTATGCATTTCAATTATTGAGATGATTTGCATTGAATATTTGTTTTAAACAACCATATATTTACATTTATGCATTTCAATTATTGAGATGATTTGCATTGAATATTTGTTTTAAACAACCATATATTTACATTAATGTTGCTGTAACTCTTCCTTTGGCTTTGACCAGTCCTTTCAAAAAACCATGCACTTGCAGCGAATTAGGTGGAGAGTTTGGTGCTGTTATTTCTGATAACCCATCACCTTCATCCCATAACTCTGCTATGACAAAAGCATTCATTTTACTACATTTACATGGATCGTTGCAAGAGATAGAAGCGGTCGTCACGTTACAAACAGGTGGAATTTTGTCAACCTTCTACAAAATAAAGCAAGCATAAAATAAATATTGTAATTACCATGAATCTTTTCAACGAATATCACGTGTTTTGAATAAAAACCTGTATTTATGAATTCAGCTATTGTACCAAGTTAGGAATATGATAGTTGTTTTCCATTCGTTTGATGTTTTTGAGCTTTTGATTTTGCCATTTGATAAGGGAATTTCCGTTTTTAATTTACCTTGGAATTCGGTATTTTTGTTATTTTACTTTTCACTGTAGTTTGCAGAACAGAAAGCAGAAGGTCTTTGCACTCCCCTCCAATTCAGAGTGAAAACCACAATTGTTTTTCGTGATAAATCTTTAGCCGAAAATTAAAAATAGAATAATCCATCGTAAGATAAAGTTTGTTTGTCGTTAAATTTTAGAGAATGAAAACAGAATAGACAAACAAAAGACCGTGACACATTTACACAGAGGAGTCAGTTATATCCTACACGAACTTCTTAAAGCTTTGAAATGAGTTCAGATGTTTCCGCTGATCAATCACTTCCTACTTAATTACTTGGACCATTAATGACATATGACAATCTTCATTTGAACTTTGGTGGATAGTTATCTCATTGGCAATCATACCACATCTCCTTATTTTTATATTGTGATAAGGAACAACAACACATTCTGTATTGCCAGTTTGAGCGGCCCTGATCATTTTTGCATTTAAAGCTTCAGTTTATCTTTATCTTTTATAGTTTTCAAAATATTGTTGAAAATACTAAAATTAATAAACAAAATCACCGTTTAGGGATAATATCTCATATAAGGAGTCGATATTCGAAAATATTGTCATGCTATTCATTTTTGTTGTTTTTAAGATTATAGCCAAAAACACAAAAAATATAATTGTGTAAAAATCGTAACTATACAGCGAAAGTTCCCATTAGGAGTAGACTTTGGACTTTTGGTCAATGATATAATTTTAGTTGTTAATTTTTCTCATTAACAATTTTCTATTTTTCAACAGTTTCAGCCAAAAAAAAAAACGCCAAAAAATGGGTAAAAATCTTAATTGATGGACAAGAACTCATATAAGATGTTGATTCAGTAGTTTGGGTATTTTGATCTTTTTTTTATATTGTCTATCTATTACAATTTTTTAGATTAGAGCCAATAATGGCTAAAAATTATCATTGAAGGGCGACAATTCCTAAAAGAAATTGACTGTAGATTTCGGTCGATTTCATTATTTTATTTGTTGATCTTATTTTGCAGATCATTTTTCCAGTGTACATTATCTTTATATTAACAATTGTTTTTCGCAATAATGAACAAAAGGTGTCATGAAAGGACAATCTTTCTTTAAACAGTTGATGATTTCGACTAATTTGCAAATCTTGCCTTGGTGATCTTTGCTGTTGATGTAGACATTGTTGATGTTGATGCAGGTGGTGTTGTTGTTGTGGTGGAAGTGGTGGTTGTAGTTGTACAAGGATTAATTGCGTCATATGTTGGATCTATTGGTATGTCACATGAGCTTGTAAGATTTTTCAAATCTTTTACATCAATAGTCACATTTTTTCGACAGCAGTCAATGCTACAAATATAAAAATGTATAGATATAGATACGATGTAATGTTTATTGCGATGCTGCGTAAGATGTTATATTTTAAAATAGGAATTGAAACACAATTCAAGCAAAAATGTGAGTCAGAATTTCGGATACTTTTCCCAGGCAACTCTTGCGAAACTGTGAACTTTTCAAATAAAATGATTTCATGGTTATTTAGGGGAAAATTTGTTTCATCGTAATTTGAATATAGTGTATATAACAATAACAAACCACTTAACTTTAAGTTGGGACCAAAACTTAACATCTAAGTATATTGCAGAACCATTTAAGGCAACATACTTAGATGACCAATTAGTGGCAATAAAGATGAAAATTACAACTAAATCATTGGGGAATACGAACTGATAAATGATGAGTTAAGTTACAGAATCGTCTGGTTTTTTTTCCTAAGAAAGCAACCTTTTTCACATCTAATATTTTAAAAACAAACTTAACGTCTGTCAAATAACATTAATATCCGGCATTTGAAATATTATACGTTAGCTATCAGTCCATATAACATAGATTTGTTCTGTTTTAAAATACAATTTCTAACTCCCTTGCCTGTTAAAAAATTTGATTTTCATTTTTCAAAAAAACAAATTTAACATTAGTTCACTTTGCAAAGTTGATTGTGATGACGTTTCTAATTGTATTATGTTTATGTAAATGTCTTCTGTGTGTTTTCTATAGTTTCTTTAGTTTGTTGTATAAAATGCAAGGCTAAAAAGAATTAAAGTGGTAATATAAATAGGTATATGAAAAGTGCATATTGTTTTAATTCTTTCCTCTAAATATATGCATTTAAATTATTGAAATGATTTGCATATAAATTGATTTTATACAAACATATTTACATTAGTGTTGCTGTAACTCTTCCTTTGGCTTTGACCAGTCCTTTTGAAAAACCATGCACTTGCAACGAATTAAGTGGAACATTTGATGCTGTTATTTCTGATAACCCGTCACCTTCATCCCACATCTCTGCTATGACAACCGCATTCATTGTACTACATTTACACGGATCGTTGCAAGAAATAGAAGTGGTCGTCACGTTACAAGTAGGTGGAATTGTGTCAATTTTCTGCAAAATAAAGCAAACATAAAATAAATATTCTGTTTACCACGAATCTCTTCGAAGAATATCACGTGTTTTAAAAGAAAACCTTCATTTTTAAATTTGCAGAACAGAAAGCAGAAGGTCTTCGTTCTTCCCTCCCACTCAGAGTCAAAAGAACGATTTTTCTTCATGATAACTGTATAGCCAAAACATTTAAAAAATAATCCATCGTAAGAAAAAGTTGGTTTGTCTTTTAATTTCACATTTTAAAGAAGGAAAATGGAACAGACAAACAATAGACCGTGAAACTTTTATACAGAAGAGTCGATTATATCCTACACGAACTTCTCAAAGCTTTGAAATGAATTCAGATGTTCCCGCTGATCAATCACTTCCTACTTAATTACTTGGATCCTTTATGACATGGAACAATCTTGTGATAAGTCTACCAACAACGACAACAAATTCTGCATTGCCAATTTGAGCGTCCCTGATCATTTTTGCATTCAAAGCTTCAGTTTATCTTTATCTTTTATAATTTAAAAAATATTGTTAAAAATACTAAAATTAGTAAAACAAAATAACCGTTTAGGGACAATAAATCATATAAGGAGTCGATATTCGAAAATCTTGTAATGATGATCATGTTTACTGTTTTTAAGATTATAGCCAAAAACACAAAAAATATAATTGTGCAAAAATCGTAATTGAACAGCAAAAATTCTCATAAGGAGTAAGCTGACGATTTCGGTCAATGATCTTATGTTTTGCTGAAGATTTTTTCTCGTTAACAGTTTTTCTCTATCTTCTACAGTTTTGGCCAAAAAAACGCCAAATAACGGTTAAAAATCTTAATTGATGGGCAAAAACTGCTACAAGATTTTGATTGATTAGTTTGGCTACGTTGATCAATTTGTTGATCTAGTCTATCTATACTGATATTCATGGTCATAGCCAAAAATGGCTAAACAATATCACTGAAGGGCGATTTCTGTCAATTTCTTTGTTTGTTATCTTATTTTGCAGATCACTTTTGCATTGTCCGCTTTCGCTCTTTAAACGATGGTTTCCGCAAAATTGGTCAAATATTGTAGTGAAAGGACAATAAATACATCATAGATGCCAGGATTAATTTTTCTACGCCAGAATATCGTTTCGTCTACAAAAGACTCATCAGTGACGCTCGAATAAAAAAATAAATAGAAAATACGAAGATGAAGAGCTTTGAAGACCCTAAATTCCGAAAGATTTTGCCAAATACACCAAATGTCATCTATTCCTGGTGAAGAAAATCCTATTTTTTTTCTTCAAAATTTCAAAGTCTTGTAAACAGTTAGCTTATAGCAATGACCGTATCAATACATACAGATGGTATTTTTTGGAATTAATATTGATTCACTCATAGGGTCTTTGCATCGGAAATAAACACATTTATTCTAAAACCAATTGTTGGCATGATACCGGTTATGTTCTTCTCATATATTTTATGATGGTATGATATTAAACCCCTTACGGGAGGGATTGGGCTTGATTTTCATATGATGAAGACATAATCTTTCAATCAGTTTAATTGAGGTCTGGAGCTGGCATGTCAGTAACTGCTAGTAGTCTTTTGTTAATTTGTGTTCATCATTGTCATTTTGCTTAGTTTCTTCTGTTACCCATTCTAACATCGGACTCGGACTTCTTTTTAACTGAGTTTACCTGTGCGTATTGCTGTGTGTTTGTTTATTCAACATTGGCACGAGGTATAGGGGAGGGTTGAGATCTCACTAAACATGTTGAATAGGAACCTCTGGCCTTTGTTAGTCTTGTATGATTTTTTTTTAAATTTTGGTTCATTTAGATGTTTTGGAGTTAAGTGTGACGTCCATTTTCGTTGAACTAGTATACGTTATCGTTTAGGGGCCAGCTGAAACCCGCCTCCGGGTGCGGGATTTTCGCGCTGTGTTGAAGACCCATTGGTGGCCTTGTGCTGTTTTATGCCTGTTGGTCGGGTTGTCTCTTTGACACATTCCCCGTTTCCATTCTCAATTTTATATATTTAGTTGACTGATGATTTCGACTATTTGACTTTATTTGCAAATCTTGCCTTGGTGATCATTGTTGTTGATGTAGATATTGTTGATGTTGATGCAGGTGTTGTTGTTGTTGTGGTGGTGGTGGTTGTAGTTGTACAAGGATTAATTGCGTCATATGTTGGATCTATTGGTATGTCACATGAGCTTGTAAGATTTTTCAAATCTTTTACATCAATGGTCACATTTTTTCGACAGCAGTCGATGCTACAAATATACAAATATATAGATATAAAATACACGTTTATGTTTATTGCGATGCTGCGTAACATATTTCATTCAAAAATTGGAATTGCAACAAAACTGAAGCATTTGTGAAAACATTTTTTGCAAAACGGACTTCAAATATAGTATATATAACAAATAAATAACCACGTAAATTTAACCGGGGATCAAAACAATGAGTACATTTCAGATTAAGGCATACACACTTAGATGACCTATAAGTAGCAATACAAATGGAAAATTAGAACTAAATCATTGGGGAATGCGGACTATAAATGAGTTTTGTTGAAGAATCAATTGGTATTTTTTTCAAGAAAACAACATTTTCACATCTAGAATTGAAAAGAAAATCTAAAACCAAGATAGTATACGTGTGTCAAATAAGATTGATATCAGACATTTGACATATTATGCGTTAGCTATCATTCTATACAACATAGATTTTTTTCAGCTCAATACAGTTTAACTGGTGCATAAAGGCAACAGTAGTACACCGGTGTTCAAAAGTCACAAACGATTGAGAGAAAACAAATACCCTTCTCTGTTAGAAAAGTTAATTTTCATTTTTCTTAATAACAAATTATATCTAAATGCCACCTTGAAGTTGATTGTGATTTCGCTTTAAATTGTATTATGTTTATGTAAGTGCCTTTTGTGTGTTTTCTGTAGTTTTCTTTTCTTTATTGTGTACATTCAAGACTTAAAAGCATGAATATGATCTAAAAGGTTATTCATTTTTCGTATAAAGATAACAAACAGTGCATATTTTTCTTAATTCTTTACTCCAAATTTATGCAATTAAGTTATTGGGATGATTTGCATTGAATATTGAATTTATACCCAAAAAAAAAGTAAGATAACAAAAATACCGAACTCCAAGGAAAATTCAAAATGGAAAATCCCTTACCAAATGGCAACTCAAAATTAAAGCTCAAACACATCATATACTCACATTAATGTTGCTGAAACTTTTCCTTTAGCTTTGACGAGTCCTTTCGAAAAACCATGCACTTGTAGCGAATTAAGTGGAGTATTTGGTGCTGTTATTTCTGATAACCCCTCACCTTCATCCCATATCTCGGCTATGACAAAAGCATTCATTTTACTACATTTACACGGATCGTTGCAAGAAATAGAAGTGGTCGTCACGTTACAAACAGGTGGAATTTTGTCAACCTTCTACAAAATAAAGCATACATAAAATAAATATAGAGTTTTCCACGAATCTCTTCAATAAAAGTCATGTGTTTTGAAAGCAAACCTTCAGTTCTTATTTCAGATCTTCCACTGTACTTCGCAGAACAGGAAATAGGAGGTCTCTGTGTACTCCCCTCCCACTCAGAGCCAATAGCACGATTATTTCTCATGATCAATTTTGAGCCAAAAATTAAAAACGATCCATTGTAAGATAAGTTTTGTTTGCCGTTTAAATTTACATTTGAGAGTAAGAAAAGGGAACCGAAAACCCATAGTCCGTGAACCATTTAGACAGAAGAATAAATTATAATATTCACACACTTCTTAAAACTACGAAATGAATTCAGATGTTCCCGACGATCAAGCACTTCCTACTCCATTACTTGGACCCCTTATGACATGTAAAAATCATGTGATAGGTCATATTAACAAGGACTTTTTCAATTTGAGCGCCCTTAAAGGCAATGTTGTTCAAATGCAGAAAGAAAGATAAGTGTATAAAATAAAATTAATTGTTTAAAATTTGGGTTTCAGGCCATAACTTCTGTAAGCCGTCGATTTGCGATTTCAATCATATAGACTTATTTGTAGATCTTGTGTTTCTGATCATTTTTGCTGTTCAAAGCTTCAGTTAATCTTTTATAGTTTTCAATATATCGTTTAAAAAGCACTAAACTGGTTTAAAATTACATTTAAGGACAAAAAAGCATATAAGGAATCGATTGATGAATTCGTCCATTTAACTTATTCGAAGATCTTGTCATGGTGATCATTATTGTTGTTTTAACATTATAGCTAATAACACAAAAAAGTAATGGGTATAAATCGTAAGTGAACAGCTTATACGGACTAGACTGACAATTATGATCAATGATCTTATGTTTCTTCTTGTAAACAGTTTTTATCTATTTTCTACAGCCTCGGTCAAAAATGCCCCAACTAATGGGCGAAAATCTTAGTTTGGCTATGTTGCTTAATTTGAAGATCTGGTCGTGCTGATCAATTTCACTGAATATTTTTCTCTCTATCTATTATGATTTTTAAGATAATAGCCAATAATGACTACACACTATCATTGAAAGACGATAGCTCATTTAAGGAGTTGGCAGTCGATTTTGGTCGTTTCCTTTATTTGTTGCGATTGTGTACGATTTCTCTCCATTTATGATGGTTTTCGCCAAAATGGACAAAAACTGTCCTGTAGGAACGATCATTCTTTAATGAGTTGACTGGTGATTTCGACTATTTGACTTATTTGTAGATCTTGTTATACTGATCATTGTTGTTTTTAAAATTGTTCCCTATCTATTATAGTTTTTAAGATTATATCCAAAACTACAAAAATGAGTAAAACAATAACAGTAACTGTTCCAGATGAACATTTCGACAATAAAGGTTTCTCCAGTGATGCTCGAGACCAAAATATTTAAAAATCTAAAAGTTTTAAAAAAAAACAAGAGCTTATAAATCAAGACAAAAAGTACAGCCAAAACCGGATAAGGGAGAATATTCCTTAATCTAGAATAATTTCCAAAATTTGTAACAGCCAATCGTCTTATAAGGGTAAGGATATAAGGAGATAACTTATGACTCTTGTCATTTGACTGTATAATACATCTTGTCTTGCAGATCATGTTTCCTGTTTATAGTTTCTCTCTATATATTAGCATGTTAAAGATAACAGCAAAACACGAAAAAAATGTTGAAAATGGTCATTTACGGGCAATAACTCCTATCAGGAATCATCTGACTATTTTGGTCAAAGGAAACAGTAGGTATACCTTTGCATTCTGAATATTTTTTTGCAGTCATAAATGTATAAGGTTTTAAAGTTATAAGTAACAACTCTCAAGAATCCATTTGTTCTATATATATAGCGTCTGTGGTTAGATTTGACGGCAAGTGGAATCAATAGACATATTTTGTATACCAGATAACCAAAGCAGGATTGTAGCCAAATTTGGTTCCAATGGGCAAAGTAGTTAAAGAGGTCTAGATTATTTTTTTTATCGACAACAGACAAGACAGACAGCAAGTGATGGCTATACTTTACATTGGCCATGGAGTTGCTTTTCAATAAATGCATGTTTGGCAAAAATCAGCACAAATGAATTTGGTCATCTGTGAAAAGCTAGTAGTATTTCGTACCCGAACAGAGGTAAAAAGTAAATGTAATGACTGTTAAATTATCAAATTGATATGCACACTTACTTTATCGTTTTACATACATGGGCTTCCAAGATATCACGAAAAAAGCTAGCCTTATCCTTTTACATCTTACGAGATAAAGAAATAACTTAATCTATTAAATGTTCATATTGAAGTTGCAACCAACGAAAATATTCGTTATATAACAAAATTGCATAGGTTTTTTACACAAACAACGATGAATTGCTGAGTCTTTCAAATGCACCAAGTAATTTTTACACGATTTGTAATTATGATTATACTAAGTTTGCAACTCTCGTATGCAACATTGTCTCGCCATTTTGTTTACTTCTTATCGGGGCCATATATAATCTTGTTGATTTGTCTTTAATTTCCCCTTTGGTCAATGGTTAAGACTTTAACTTTGAACACTAACTATAGGCCTAATACATTTGATATTTACTTTATTGTACTCTTGAAAAAAAAATCTGTTATACCGACCCTTTCTTCGACTGTCAGGTACGTTATGATTTGTTGAAACTTGCTGTGAGATCTTGTCGTAGCTGCTGGTTTAGCATTTAGTGTGATAGTACTGAAAAAAAAACAAATCGTAATCTTCAAAAAGTACTTTCCGCCCAGATGGCAATTCTTGCATTCTGCAAAGGTTTAAAGGGGCATTAGCTGTCAAATTCATGTTAACCGATTTGACTCAAATTCTCATATCTGATTTATAACATACTAAAACGTATATTCAAATTACAATAAATCTAAAATAAACAATTAACCATGCATGGACTCGATAATATATATCAATATTTCGTGTGTATTTTAGTCTAGACGCCATCTAGTTAACCATTGAGATGACCTCCGACGGTCATATAACCCGATATAAACATACATAAAAATATAAATAGACAGCGACCACGTGCAATTGGATTTTTTGTAGGTCTGTATGATTTTATGTTATAGATTAATCATCCTTTTTACCTGTTACTGAATGATATTTTGTGGATCGGATCAGTCATGAAATGGTTCGAATTCACCTTGTTTCACTTTCAATGTTGACATTCTTTTCCTTTTGATAGCTGAACACGCCTAGTACATGCGTAACTCAGCTCTAGCTAAGGGGTTAAATTGAAGTTCACATGAATACGGATTCACATGAGGTAGAATTGTTCACTTGTATGTTTATAATACATCAGCGATGTTTTTGAGCTTATTTTGACAAATTTGGGTCAAACTACATGTAACTGATGATAGCGAAACATAATTTCAAAATTAGGCTTTAATTTATACTTGAAACAAAAAGATTCGTATTAAAATTTTGTGTATCAATCGTAGCTAATGCCCCTTTAGCTGATAATTTTTGTTAATTACTAGTTCATAAAAAAAATTAATTGTGCTAAAGCTAATGCCGCAACTCCCACATGCAAATCAACCATAATCTCCTTTGGTTGGTTTTTTTTAAATGCCTTATTGGTTTTTATGCGCTTTACCTGATGACAGTTATTCAAGTAACGCGTTTAGTGCGCACGGGAATTATTTGGTTTGCTTTTATCAGGTATTAGAATTATGTATATGACTAACCTATTTGTTTTCTAACGTATTGCAAGCGTAATTATCATGTTAATTGATTTCCATAATATGAAGACAAATTTCTATAATTTTTTTATCTATTGTTTCTAAATTAACATTGATAAAGATTGATTGTTGGTATTTAACGCCACCTTCAGCACTATTGGCTATATCGGGGCGGTTAGTTTTTATTGGTGGCGGAAGCAGGAGTGCCAAAAAAAAATACCCCACCGATCTTCTGCAGGAAAATCACATTGATTAAAAACATTAAACCAGTCGTAAGGAGTACGTCTCTTATAGGGAAACAGGAAAAACAAAAGATTTGAAACTTAGAAACATATTATGATACCAAGGTTCAATAGAAAATTCCAAAAGACAAACAACAGTCAATAAAGCACCAAACGCTAATATAAATCCACTGGCATTACGTGTTGACCTCAAATATTTCGTACGGATAAGCAGTTATACAAAAAAGAGGATTGGGGATCTTATTCGTGATCGTCTATTAGTCAGATATTCACTAAATTTTAGAAAAATCTTCATGTTGTCCGAAAATCGTTTTTATGTTATAATGACTATCAATTCATTTACTTTTGGGTCGACGTATTACTTTTAATGTAAACCTGAGAAGCATTTACAATACAACAAATTCGGTGCGTTTTTTTTTTGGCAATTTCTATTCTCATTAAAACTGAGATAGTATTCGTTTATAGGCAAATAAAGTTATGCAAAATTTTTGATACCAGTTGTATTGCCCAAACTAAAACTCGAACATATATCATGTTATAGGGAATAAAAGCCGAAAAGCCAATTTATAAATGAATTAATATGAGTAGAGGTACCAATTGATTATACTGTTTACCTGAAAATTAACTACAAACATGTACACCTTGATTGAACGTGGGATTAAAAGATAAATATGTGAATAGTAATGACTTCACCTTAGATAACGCATATGAAGAACATATCTTGAAATCTTACATAACTTGTTTATGTTCTGCCGTTTCAATCACATTTAAATCAAGTCATGCCAGTATATAAATTATAAATGTGGTTTGAAGAACTCAATTGTTTATTTTAGATTGGAAATACTTGAACAGTTTTCGATATATTTGACAAATGATAAAAGAAAAAGGTGTCCATACCACGCTTGGAGTATCACATTTCCATGTTTAGTAAACCGTGTAATCGTGGTAAAAACGCTAATTGGGATATAATGTAAAACCTTCACATCATAAGGAACATGTGTACTAAATTTCAAGTCTCAACATCAAAGTAAAACTACATTAAACCAAAACTTTAACATGATACTGGACGGACACACGCACGCACAAACCAGAAACTATGCTTTTTTAAGCGAGGCATACAAATGAAACATAACTCTAACTTACGTGGTTTCTCCTTTTGTTTTGCCTCCGTGTATTGTAAAATAACTCGTCTGGTTTGTCCATGCCTTCAGATGAAATGTTCTAGATTTAATACCGACAGAAAAAGTTTTGTCGTCTTTTATTGTGACTATAACATCTTCATCCTGACTTCCAGCATTTGTTATGACAAATGTCACATTCAGATCCTCATTAAGGTACAATGGAACTATAAGATTTAATAAAAACAAAAAGCATCATTTGTTATGTTTAGAGGCTGTGTTTTTCAACAAACAATCGGCATTCCTAGGGGAATGAGCTGAACTGACTTGTTAATTTTTTTTTTCATTCAGGAGTTTCTTAGAAAGAATGAAAAGAAGCTAGCATCAAACTTTTATTTCACGTTCTGATATATAGATAATGTAATATCACTAAATAATACAAAGTTTGATTACTTTGTTTAACAAATCTATCCCATACAACTTGTAAAGGAGAGGTGAAAGATACCAAAAGAACATTCAAATTCATAAGTCGACAAAACTGACAACGCCATGGCATATAAAGAAAAAGACCAAAAGACAAACAACAGTATAAAAAAACAAATACAGAAAACTAAAGACTGAACAACACGAACCCCATCAAAAGCAGGGGTGATTTTGTAATAAAGGATACCACATAATTTCAGCTTCCCAATTGAAAACTTTCCATTACTATGTAGCAAAAGTGTATAGAGTATATATCCAGCTGATACGATATTCAAGAGCTTGTGTTTTCTATCATGATTTCCTTGATAGAGGGTGGCTGCTTACAACGAAGCTATTAAAACCAGGGTATCCAACTAAGAAAAATGAAATTTTCCCTTTGAAGAAATTTACAGACGCCATCACGAGTTGATTGACCGTTTTGGAATATCTGTTTCACATATATCTTTTTCATAGATGACAACATATATGTCCCAATTGTCGGAACCACAATCCCATCATCTTTTTCTTGAATGTGACATCACCGAATTAGACTCCTCACTGAATTTGTAATTACAAATTGAGAAATACGACGGATGTAGCATGAAAGCAAGATCTGCTTACCATTCCAGAGCAAATGAGCTCAGCCTGGTATTTGTTGGAGTTTGAGTTGCTTTTTTTTATGTCGTGTTTCCTAGACTGTCCTTTTCTTTCATCGTTTATTCGTGTTTTACCATGGCGTTATCTGTTTATTTTTACTTATGAGTTTGAAAATCCCTTTCAAATCTTCCGCATCTATTCTAAGGTTGTTTGATTGTCATGACTATAATTTATACAATAAATATTGACATAAGTTCGAAACTGTAAGAAGGGGCTAAACATTTATATAAATGTATTTTTCATTGAGATATCTCATACATTATTTAAAAACAAATAATACAAATTGCTTTGTTTATAATCGTTATTATATCAATTATTTGCCTCTTAAAGCATTTTCGTTAACTAATCTAATGGTTAATCTATTTATTTCATTTCTATTAACAATTGTTCATACCTTTTTCATGTAAATGGTCTAGTTTTATGTTAACTATTTCTATAACATCCCGATGCATCCGTACAAAATTTTTGCCTGTAGACTTTGTTGTCCCAACAGCTGCCAATTTGAAATACTGAAAATGTAGTAACCAAAACATTTTATTTCTTCATAATTCTTATATGATTTGCGTATCAGGAAATACGTTTATATCATTGGTCGAGAGTGCTTCCGGTAGTGGCTCTTGAAATTATTTATTTATCGATAGACGACGTTGACGGAACTACTTTTTGTAACCAAAGTAAACAAGATGACGGCGATAATAACACAAACCGGCTTGACGTTAAAAATATTTATTTTCACTTCGCGTTCATCGTTAAATTAAATAATAAACACAAAACATTCATAAGAATGATAATAAGATATTTTTGTAGTTTATTTTTATCAGACAGCAAGTTTCATGGAGTAAACTTTTTTGCGTTAAACAAAAAATATTTTCATACGCCAAGCCAATTCAATGACACAAAATATACAATTTACGTGTGATGGAGGCTACAAGTGGGGAAATTAAATTCCCTATCTCCGATTTAAAAGAATTATAAGGATTAAACGCATTTGTAAAGGAATTTGTTGGTGTATAAACTGGATCAAGTCACTCACAATTTTTTTTTTTTTATGAAATCGGTCATACTTAATTGATGTTGCTTAGTCTTTAAGATTTTATTTTTAATTTGCTTAGTACTGTGTTTTATTAATGCAAAAGCTGAATATATCATTGCTACAACAACATTTTAATAAACTTGTCATACCGAATACAGTGGGGATGACACTTACGCTCGGATAAAAAATTCAGGAAGCCATACAAAAATGTTTGCATGAGGGCCCTTAAATTTTATTTTAAGCACAATTACATTATCTATGTTCTTGCAAACTTTACAATAACAAGAATATGTGTTCATAGCCCACTATTCCCGCGCTCACACTACCACATTTGTATATTTAAGAAAGAGCGCAATCTGGATCAAAACCCTAATTTGGTATATATCTTAAATCAATAGTTCTAATAATAATGAACATATGTATTAACTTTAGGTTGATGTGATCACAGCAACAAATTAAAACCATCTTAAGTCTTAGCCTTATACGGGACGGAAGTGCTAGCGGTCTAACGATAACTCGGGGCTGAAAACATAATGCTCAGAACTATTGTGGGACATAAAAAAGATTATATAAAGGAGAAACAAAAGATACCAAAGGGATATTCAAACTCAGAAATAAAGCATGCAAACACAGGGGTATTGGTTTTCGTGTATTATGTCTGAAAGGCAATGTTGAGCAATTACCTGATGTGGAATCATAACAGTAGTTGTATAAAACCCTCGAGAGCTGCTTTTGTTCCTCTTTTGCAATGAATAATGTGATATTTCATTCCCATATACATTCAGTAGCGAAACAAAATCTAGGTCACCTATGCTGTTGTCGTTCATTTCAATTGCTAAGGTTACATTCTCATCTGAAAGAAATACAGAAAACCAAAATGAAAACAAAATTATAAATGCTTCAACAACAAAAAATTGTTTGTAAAGGTTAACCGCTTTTTGGTGCACGGGAATCGTGTTTATACTTTTATAAGCTACAAAGAAAAAATCCCTTATCGATAACAGATTTTTCCTTCAATGTGTGTGTATTTATTACCTTAAAAAAACAAATCTTTTACGGAGCTATGTTAAAACAAATACTCTCCGCAGTCCAATGACACTTAACAGGTTTTTAACCTTATATTTGACTATAAACTAGCAGGAAATTAATCGGAAACAAGAAACAGTAGTGTACTGAATTACCAAAACCAGTTTACGATTTTTAAAAGAAACAAACAAAATAAAAGCATGATGTACTAGAAAGAACTTCAAACGAACCGCAACTGGGTTTATCAACAGGATAAATGTCTTATGCTATGAACATGATGAACGACGTATTAGCCATGACAGTAAAAATGTTACGTTAGAGAAAAAGGACACAATCTGTAAATTTTCCGATCAGACGACTATTCTAGTTACTAAGTATACAAGACCAAATTACATCTGTAATCATATTGGAACAAAATGTGTAAGGTCTATTATCTATACTATAGTTCGATGATTGATTGTCATACAAATAAACTCTGCTCTCAGCTCAACTTTGTTAATTTCGTATCGTTATAATGCATAGGTAACAGCCAGCAGTAAAACATTTCACTCATCTCGGATACAATAATCTGAATCGAGGCTATGTTCCAATCATCCTGTCCTCATTTTCCCTCATTTTTAACCTTCAGTAGGATCTGAGATCATCCCTTGATTCTGTTGGGATTGGTGTTACGCAGTCTTTAGTTTTCTATGTTGTGTTTTGTATACTGTTGTTTGTCTTTTGGTCTTTTGATCTTTCCTTCTTTTCTTTTTTTTGCCATTACGGTTTGAGTTTGAGTTTGAATGTCACTTTGGTATCTTTCGCCTCTCTTTTAGCGTCGTTTAATAATTCAAACAAGTTTGGCGAGGAAGACCCGAACTCACATGCCCGAGTTTAGCACTACATGTTACTACAAAGATGGTAAGCTGATCCTGATACTATGGAATCAATATTGTACCAATTTTCAATGATTTCGTGGATATAGGTGTACAGCAAATTTAAAGGCATACGATACAAAAAAATCCTTCTTAAACTTTTGACACAACTTTAATTTGTCTATGCATTTTCGAAATATGCAAGGAAGGATATACCGTCATGACCTACTTTTCGAGATATTTCAGTTTGACTTCGCATGTTTCATGTAAAAACACAAAATTTCATTGTTCAATACTTTTCCCCAAAAAAAACCCCAACTTTCAAACGGGAAGAGATATTTTCACCAAGTGTCTCACAACGTTCTTCTTGATTTAAATAAAATAAAAGTATAGTGCAAAGGACATATTTTCTATAGGCTTGTATTTTATTGACTTTGGCAAACATTGGTAACCAAACATATTTTCTATAGGCATGTATTTTATTGACTTTGGCAAACATTGGTAACCACGGAAATAAACGAAGCCACAGTACTGTCATTGATAAGTTGGTTTCTACGTTTAAAAATTGTGTCTTTGCAAAAACTAAAATTTATATTGATATCTGATTATTTAGTTATGTATTTTGTTCGATTGCTTCACACTCCTTTTATTGATACTCATCGATGGATATCGATAGTACAATCATATGCATGTATTATCAGAAAACAAACAAACATAAAAATAGTCTTACCTGGAATGGGTCTTCCATGAATTTGATAGTAGGAAAAACTTGATGCATCGTATGCCATTATCTTTGCGTTAAAATCAAGTGTGCTTTGAGCTGTAACCTCAACATCCCACTCATTCATATCATTCTTACGTAACGACCAACTGCCAGCTTTAGGATGCTGTTGAAAAAAATTAGTATTTTACTTATTTATATGAAAAATGTAAAGCGGTTTCCGTGTGCATGATTTTAAGGATCAAAACTTGTGGACAGCCAAACAGGAATCGAAATGCCCAAAACAGTAAAGGGAAAACCATCTGAGAGCAGCTTTTCCAGCAGAATTGCCAATTTAATTTCGGTTTAATCTATAAACTGTACATTTACTGTCAGATTGAATCATCAAATACATGCTTATAAGAAAAAAATATTTATGGACAATGTCACTCGACAAGCAGTTTAGCAGCAGCGCACCAACCAACTGGTAGTTACACAAACCTGTTATCCCAATTATACGTCACGTGTTTTGGAATATATGTTATCTTGTAAATGATAATAACACCTTCAATTGTTTTAGCTTTCGAAGCGCTTTTCTGAATTGACCTTCATTAGATATGCCTAAACATTTGACAACCAGGGATTTATAAATACATAGAAATTTATGACTAGAAGGGACATAAAAAGAAAAGTCAAATACATTTATGGTCAAAATTTGCATTCGAGACAAAAGGTTTGGAAAAAAATATATTAACAAAACAACAAAACAAAAATAGCCTTCCCAGAACAGTTAAATAAGAGGCAAAACTAGCTAGTCGAAATCATTTTAAACCAATAAAGATTTTTTTAAAAACCAAGGAAATTACTCCAAACAGAGTAAAACGAGAAATATCGACAGGGCAAGCGTATTCTGCAATGTACCAATCACCCTACAAGCGAAACCACACTCATTCAAATAAAAATAAACATAAATTTGGTATATTTGAAATGTTTTCTGGATTCACCTCCAAATACGAATATTGTTTTATTTAAATTTTCTGTGTCAAATCTTTTTAGATTTCATTTTAAATTTAAGAAAAACACCTCCCTCATTTTTGTACTTTGAAGTTTTATAAAAGGAAGTAAAGTGTACGCACTTTTTTTCAACAACAAAGAAGTTTGATTCAATGCTTTATTAATGATATTACATGCTTTTGAAACGAACTTTATTTGATTGAAGATGTAAAGAATATTACAATTTGACATCGATAAACGAATTCACTAACTATAAAGAATGCACGATCCTAAAATTTAAAAATTGAATTAAGTAAAATAATTAGAAATTATTTATCCATATCAAACGTATTTTTAATATGACATTGAAATGAATAAACCAATGAATGCCCATCCAAGTCGTGTAGCCGTTGTGTCAATCATCTTGATCATATTTTCCTATTTCTAAAAAAATACCTTCTTTTCAAAACAATTTCGAACGGACAAGATCTGAAATTAAACTGATAAAATTTATAAGGTTAGAAAGGTGAGTTATTCAGGAACATGCACATAGCACCATGTTTTTCCACACTGAAGTGAAGTTTTATAATTTATCAGTTTGATATGAGTTCTTGTTTTTTGTCAAATTTATTGTAAATTACATAGAATTCGACAAGAGATAATCGGACAGGTAGAGGGAAAAAGGACAAGATCAAATTTTAACTGTTTAACTTTTAAAAAAATTATGTCTGAAAGTGTCAGAATTATGCAGATAGCACCACATTTTTGTATGACAAAATGTGACAACTAAACAATTAAAAAAAAATTGTCAAAGATACAAGGCGACTTTTGTCTAAAAAGATTCATCAGTGATGATCGAATAAAAAAAATTAAAAGGTCAAATGAAAAACGAAGTTGAAGAGCATGGAGGAGCAAAAATTCTGAAAGTTTTACCAAATAAGGCAATATATTTCTGGGGTAGAAAATCCTTAGTATTTAGAACAATGAACGGATACATTATCAAATAAAGGCAACAGTAGTATACCGCTGTTCGAATTCATAAATCGATTGAGAAAAAAACAAATCCGAGTTAAAAACTAAAACTGAGGGAAACACATCAAATATAAGAGGAGAACTACGACACAACAGAAACACAACATTAAAATGTAACACCCACAGAAACGAACTATAATATAACAATGGCCATTTTCCTGACTTGGTACAGGACATTTTAAGAAAAAAAATTGACATGTGATGACTGCAGTAATTAGATTTGGTCTTTATCAACACATTTTGGGTTTTAATTCTCACAAGTGGCACACAGAGAGGCAACTTAATTTATACTCAATTCAAGTATCGGTCGGACTTCACCCTGACATACGTATGAGTTATTTGTTACGAAAAAAGGACTTATGTACCTTTAAAGCATGAAAACTTAATTATGCCCCAAAGCGTTAGCGTTATAACTCACAGAGGATAACTTACAGAACACAGTGACAAATAATTTGTCACGTGTTAACATATGACAATTCTTTGCGGAGATACTTACCTCCACAACAACACTTATATAGGTTGTACCAATGTTGTACATGTGAATTGTCTTGTTGTCAATAGGCTGTGTATTCCCTAGGATTTCAAAAAGTATAGTTAGCTAAAAATGTTTCACACAATTCGTTTACTAAACATTTATGATAAACACTGTTAATGACGTCTTTACAATATATCCTTTGGTTGTAAGTTGTGTATTGATTGATATATGATTTTTATTAGTTGTTGCTTTGAACTAGCTATCAGTAACTGCGTGTACTCTCAGATCTGTACTTTTTGTCTTTTTTATTGTGAGGGATGTATAAGTTCCCTGCCACGTCCGGTCTGTGTTAGTGTTTGTTTTTTCTGCTTTGTAGCGATCTGATGAATTCAGCACTTTTGAACTGATTTTTATAGTTTGTTCTTATGTTGAACTGTAACCAGAAAAAAGTAAAATCACAAAAATACTGAACTCCGAGGAAAATTCAAAACGGAAAGTCCCTAATCAAATGACAAAATCAAATGATAAAACACATCAAACGAATGGGCAACAACTGTCATATTCCTGACTTGGTACAGTCATTTTCAAATGTAGAAAATGGTGGATTGAACCAGGTTAGAGAGAGGGTTTGACGCCAGCATACAAATTTGACCCTTCACATTCGGTATGTGCCTGTCCCAAGTCAGGAGCCTGTAATTCAATGGTTGTCGTTTGTTGCGGTATATCATATTTGTTTTTTCTATTATTGGTTTGTACATAAACCAGACCGTTAATTTTCTCGTTTGGATTATTTAACACTTCTCATTTCGGGGCCTTTTGTAGCTTAATATGCGGTATGAGTTTTGCTATCGGTTGAAAGCCGTAAGGTTACCTATAGTTGTTTCCTTTTACGTCTTTTGAGGTCTTGAAGAGAGTTGTCTCATTGGCAATCATACAACATCATCTGATTTTTACATTCGGAATTTATGTTCCCTTTGAAAACATACTACAAGTGAACAATGAAAAAAATGTAAACACAGAAATAACTTAGATTTACTAATTTCATGGAACGATTCATTTTTAGCTCAGCAGGCCCAAAGAATCAAGTGAGCTTTTCTTATGACTTGGCGTCCGTCGTCCGTCGTCGTCCGTTAATTTTTACAAAAATCTTCTCCTCTGAAACTAATGAACCAAATTTAACCAAACTTAGCCACAATCATTATTTGTGTATCTAGTTTGAAAAATGTGTCTGATGATCCCGCCTGCCAAATAAGATGGCCAACATGGCTATAAATAGAACATAGAGGTAAAATGCAAGTTTTGTCTATTATTTTGAAAACCGTTATAAATATAGAAAATCTGACAGGGGCAAAATTGTTCAGAATGTTGAGCTCTACAAATTGTCTATTTTCGTCAAAACTGTCAGACGACTTCTTATAGGAGTTATTGCCCTTAAATGACAAATTTTATAATTTTTGTTCTTTTTCTGTCTATTATCTTGAAAATTATAATAGATAGAGAGAAACTTTAAATTGCAAAAATGATCAGCAAGACAAGTTCTTCAAATAAGTCTGATGGTCGAAATGGTCAGTCGACTCTTTTTTAGACTTATTGCCATTTGATGACGACTTTTACCATTTTTTTTTGCGTTTTATCTTTAAAATTATAATAGATAGATAAAAACTTAAATAAGCAATAATGATTGGCAAGACAAAATTTACAATTAAGACAAATGTAGGAAATCGTTCGACATTTCCTTTTTGGAGTTATTGTTCTTTAATGACGATTTTTACCATTTTTTTTTTTTGCGTTTTGCCTTGTATGATAAAAATTATAATAGATAAATAGACACTTCAAACCACAAAAATGATAACAAGTCTAATTTTGCCGTTATAGTTAGTAGACTGTCACTCTTTATAGGAGTGATTGCCCTTAAATGATAATTTTTTACCCTCTTTTGTGTTTTGAGAAAAAAACTTAAGATGATAGAGAGAAACTAAACAGACTGAATGATCAGCAATACAAGATCAACAAAACAGATATTTTTGTCATGAATTCTATTCTCGTCTTCAATGTTGGAGAGTGTCCTTTTTTGAATATGCACATAGACAAAGGTGAGCGACACAGGTTCTTTAGAGCCTCTAGTTTTTAACTCACCTTAGTTTGTCGATTAACACAGATCGTATTGACATCAATGGTAATTAATGTTGACTTACCATTTGAATTTAAAAGGTTGAAATGAGGAACATCGTTTTTGCTGTGTATCTTTAGTGTAAACTGAGATATACTGTCATCAATATCAATATCTATTTGCTTTGGTGTTGATGGCCCTCCTGGAAATACGTTCTTGAGGATAGAAACTTCAGATTTTGAAAGTGATGCCTACAAATAAAAATATAAAAACGTGAGACGATGATATGTTTTCGAGCTTAAGAATATAATGATTTCTTAGGTACTATGGCAACACGTAATTTTTAACTCTGCAGCAAGATTATGATAAAGTCAATTCAAGTATGTCATCAAAATTAATTTGTGGAACAGTGATGCTGACATATTAATTTGTCATTAAGGCAGAGTTGATATATGAAATTGCCAAGAATTTTTTTTCGTAACTGAGACTTACGAGCTTAAATAATTGCATAACTATTTTGATTTGTATTTGATTATCATTGTATTGTATTCGAAGGGATATAATT